GAATGTTTACATTAGTAGCTTAACCTATATTTTTAAGATTCATAAATCATCCATATTTATAAGTTAAGCATTAATTAAGTGCAATTTTATTCCCTGAACATTATGAAACATAGTAAAAGCTAACATCTCTCAAAAAGCTACATGTACATCGTGAGATAATTACCAAGACAACAATCACTGAGTTGGTTCAAACACTTAAAAATCAAGACTTTATAAAATTAATAGATAGGCCACATACTCCAAATAACTTTTGACATATATTCTAATGAAAAATAGAAAATTTATTTGTAGTCTTTCTACCATCAGCGTGAAATTGATAATCTAAGAACTATTCTTCCTCTTGAAAATTTAAAGACTAAATCTGATGCCATCCCTTAAAAGATGGTTCCAAATTTTTATTATTGATTTATATTCTACAACACATATACATGTTCCATATAGTCCATGGAAAACACCCAATTCTATCACGAAACATGAAATTTAGTCTTCTAATTGTAATCTTGATAAAACTCATCTTAAATGCAGAGAAGTAAAACCAAAATAAATATACTGAAAAGAAGGCACATTTACACTTAAACTAAAAAGAATCAAAAAAACTACCAACTGTATTTTGAGATGGGAGAACCCTCAGGTAAGAACAAATCTTAAATTTATTTCCATACTTATAAACTTAAATGTTTCATATGGCTAACCCATACTAACAGCAAGAAAGAATAGGAAAAAGAAAAGTCCTTTTGGCAAAAAATGATATGTGCTTTTCAACATTACTAAAATATGAGAACTCAAATTTTCTAACTTGTTTTATATATATATTATATATATATATAATATATATATAAAGGAAAAATCCATTTAATATAACAAAGTAAGGAGAATAAGTTCACACTGGCACAATTTTATTCTTAAAAATAGAAATTAATGAAAGGTAGGCAAGAGTCCTCTGTGCCTTTTTTCATGTGTGTGTGTGTGTGTGTGTGTGTGTGTGTGGCGCTGGGGTTTGCACTCAGTGTCCATATTTGCTAGGCAGGCGTTCTATCAGCCTTCTTTGTGACTTTTTAAAGAGAACTCTCATTTTACAGCAGAAACCACTGCAGTAACTGGCATAACCAGGGTACAGTTGGCTTAGTACTTTGTAGTCAATGATGTTTATAAGCAAGACCTTCTTTCACTTTGAAAACTATGCCTAAAAAGGAATTCTCTTTGAAGACTAAAGGAATTTAATTAAAGATAAAGCCACTTGGGTGGCCACATAACACATCAAACAGATCATACTTCAAGCAGAATTACTACTATTCAGTTATAAGTGCATGACTCATAGGAATATACTTTTTTTTCTGTGTACGTCAAATTGGATGCAGAAATTTACATTTAAAAGTGCATTATCACATTTGCTAAGTCTATTCATTTTGGCTTCAATTTAACTTCATGTGGTAAACACTGATTAATGACCTACTACTAAATATGAAATAACATACTGTGTCTAGAAAGCAAGCTTCAAAGCTACAAAAAGTTCATGAACAATTTAAAAACATTAACAAAGCTTCAATACTATAAATGTTCACTTCCATGTTTCTAAGAATCTAAAAATAAATCTTAATTGTAAAAATGTCCACTACTCATAATCTCCAATTTTCATTGTTACCAGCAAGTATAATGTTACCATTTATATTAACATCTGCTGGGTGTTTATCCTCTATGATTGAGGAACAGGAGCACAGTCAGCATAATACCCAGTTAGGACAACATTTAAAAGGAAAAAACAGACATCTTTAGAAAATTATATACTTTCCTTGCTTTTCTAAATCTAGCATACTGAAAGTAGTATAAGATTGTATTTATGACAAACAGTCATCATTATGCACCATATCCCATGATAGTACTGTAATGCAGTGATGACTAAGGACAGAGAGTAAAGCAATGTTATTCTTTAGTTGGTAAACTGGTTGCTAATTCCCCACTAGCTGTGACTTGTGTTGCAATAAAGCCCCATTCTTTGCTGTTTATAACTGGATAAATCCAATCAGTATCAACCCTAACTACAATCCTAAAATTGAAGAAAGTGGCTTCTGCCTACTTCAACTAACATCTAATACTATAAGACAAATAAGAAAGACCACGAACAAGAGATAACTGAAGACATCGTGAAAACAAGAAAGATACATTACATGTAAGGTTTACATGGTAGACTAAATGGCAGTAAAGGATGCTATAGGCAATAACAGTTGAGCTGGCAAGAACAGTGTGAGATAAAACAAGGAAATTTATATACTAGGCACCTTTTTTTTCAAACAGGTTACTGGATTTAAAATGACAACTGTGGTAAGATCAGTGAGACCCCATCTGAGGGAACAATAATTCAATTGAATGAGTCAAATACTACTACATTCCCAAAAAGTTTCTCCTAAACTGAGTAAGACAAAAAGCAAAACATAGTCTGAGTAGTGGCTCACAGCTGTCATCCCACCTACTCTACAGGCAGAGTTCCGGAGAATAAGGGTTCAAGGACAGCCCAGGCAAAAGTTAGCAAAACTCCATTTCAATCAGTCAGGTGTTATGGACGCTCCTGTAACCCAGCTGCTGGGAAAGGTTGAGGTAGAAGGATCACAGTCCCAGGCCAGCCATGGGCAAAAACTGAAGACCCTACCCAAAAAAATAACTAAAGCAAAAGAGGGCTGCAGGGCATGGCTCAAGTAGTACAGCTCCTGCCTAGCAAGTGGAGGCACTGAGTTCAAACCCCAGTATCAGAACAACAAAAGCAACAAAGCAAAACACACAATTTCCTGATCGTTCACTGGTAAAAAAGTTAAATATTAATAGCTAATTGCAAGTATTTATTGTGCACCTACTATGTGACTTGAGCATGTCAAATATGCGGCATTTTTCTCTCAAGTGCCTTATAATAAGGAAATAAACAGATGCCCCATAAACCTAAGTGGAAAAAAATTAATGCAAATTAAAGCAAAGCTTTTCATTTTCAATAAAACTAATATTGTATGATGAACAAAAATTTAAAATGAGACATCCTCATATCACTATGAATATAAACCAATACAACATTCTGGGAAGTAATTTGGTGGTGTTATAAAAGCTTAAAAATAGCAACAAAAAGACTGATCCAGTAATTCCTCTTCTCCAAATTTAAAGGGAAAATTTCAAAGATTTATATAAAAGACTATTTACATCCAGAACATCTGCCAAAACACTTAAAATATGTTGCATAATGGAATGTTAAGGTGCTACTTATATTTTTCAACGAGTATTTAATGACATAGAATGTTTCTGAGTTAAAACTAAATGAAAACACTATATGCATCCAGTTTTAGGAAAACATATATGAATAGGGAAATACTTAAATACAAATTATTTTTATATTTATTTGTACTTTTCGATACTTCCCAAATAATTTTATGATTTACAAAATAAGCAATTGTTATTTGAAAATGCACATACCACCAAACGCATTTAAAATGTAAATGTAAAAGTCAATGTTATATAATTGGTCTGGATTAAGAATTTCACCTTTAAAAAAATTACTCTAGAAAGGCTGAAGGGAAGTAACGATAATCTATGTAGATTAAAAAACTATGAGGAAACAGTAGCAGACCTTAGCACTGATCTCGATGAAGCTGAAACTGAAGGAAAATCAAGGATAATAGACACAACAGATCTTGAAGAAAAGCAAAGACATCCTGTTTCGTGATACACTCTTTACTTCCTCCAAATGCAAGCTTTTAAACACCGACTTGTGACAGCACCCTTCCAGCTGTCGGGATACCAGCAGCGGAGACGCTGGATCCCTGCGACAGCCTCCCAAGGCGCGACCCGATAACGAAGCGGCACAGGGGCGGCGGGCCTGGGCTGGAGTCTGTGACCTCCCGGCAGGTCAGGATGCGGAGGGCGGAGGCCACCCGCGGCCGCGACACGGCGCTTCCCTCCGACGCCGACATCATTCCCGCAACACCGAAGCTTTGCAGCAGCGCGCAGCTCAGCGCCTGGAGCTCTGCTGCTGACAAGCCTGCCCCAGCCCGCCAGGATTCTTAAATCACTTTTCCAACTGACCCGAACTCAGCACAAAGTTAAGCAACAGGCTAAGACGACGGAATCCGCTCTCTTAAGTCTCGCCAGCACATGACTGTGGTTTAAGTTTGGGGATCAAAAACAGGAGGCGCTTCCCACAGTTAGGGAAGCAACCACCAATTCCGGCGCGAGGGTCGGAGCGCAGCGCGGCCGGACCTACAGCCACACACCGGCAAGCCCAGCCTGCCCCCTCTCTCCTGGCGGTCGCGCCAGTCGCCTCCCCTCCGGGGCTTCCCGAAGCCACCAGAACTTAGCCCGCTACTTCTTCCCACGCAGCACCAGTCTCAGCAAGACCGGTCCCATCCTCAGCACAACCAAGCGACACAAACTAAGAAGCACCATCCCGCCATAAACCTCTCCATTCCCCTTCAATTCTAAATCGACGTCTGAAATAAAGGACGAAATAAACAAGGGTCGCATAAGACAATGACCGCTCCTTCTCACAGCTTCCCTCCAACCCCAATACAGCAGTCACCACACCCGCAAGGAGTGTGAGGCGGAGGCCGCTCAAACGAGGGGCGGGCCCAGGAGACCACGTGTTCCACCTTCTGCGCACGCGCCAGCCAAAACAAAAGGGAAGCCTGCCAAGCCCCTCCCTTCCCCCCACGTGACACACGCCTAGGCCCGCCCCAGCCCCGCCCCGCCCTCCAGCTCTTCCCTCCCCTCCCCTCCGCTCCTGCCAAGGCTGTTAGGTTTAGCCGTTTAAATTTGGCTACGGTCCGACCCCTGTCTTGGAGCACGATCTTGTGCCGGGGCCCAGAGTCCAACAGCCCTGAGGATTCGGGGGACGAGGAAGTTGCCGGTGGTTCGCCTGGCCCGCGAGTCCACCCAGAGATCTTCTCCGCTCTCCCCGCCCCGCGCTGCCGCCGTCCCCGGCCGAGACCCACCCTCCTAAGCCCGCCGCTGAAACGCCAGCCACTCGCCTGCTGGGGCGCCCTGGCTCCCCTCCGCCGCCGCACCTTCGGTCCGGCCGTGGTGGGGGCTGCTGAGGTGATCTCTAGCTGCCCTCCCGCCTCCCCCCACCCGGGGCGCCGCTGACTCCTCTCCAGAGCGCGCCCCGCTCCCGCCCCGACTGCCGCCGCTGCCGCCGCGGTTTAACAGTCCGCTCGCTGCCCGCAGCAGCTCCGGGCGCTCGGGGGACGGAACCCTGTCTCGGTGGAGGGGGCGGGGGGAGAAGAGGGCGGAGCCCGGCGCTGGCCAATGACAGAGGGGGAGGGGCAGCGCCATGCAAATGAAGCGGGCGGCGGGGAAACCCCGGCGGGGGCGGGGCCTGCAGAAGCGGCTCGGAGCGTTCTGGAAGTGGCTGGAGCGCGACGCCCGAACCCGGCTATGGAGGCGCCGTGCTCCCTGCTGGTGGGTTCTGCGTCGCCCCAGCTTCCTCTTTCTCCTTCGCTGTGCCAGCCCGGAAAAAAACCAACAAGCACACGGCCGGGCGACTTCCCGCCTCTTTGCTGCTATTTCTGTAGCTCTGTGACAGGAAAAAGAAAACACTGGGGAAAGTCAGGCTGCTTGATGTCCCGGGCTGCCTGTCCCCGCTGTTGCAGCGGGTAGCGCCTTCTCACCACTGCCCAGAAATGCCGTTTTGCGCGTGCAAATTCACGTCCACAGTCACCATTCCGCAGCGTTTGCGAGGGCTCTGAAGTAGGTGACAAAAGCACCCTGGATCCAGCTGGCTGGGCTTGTAATTTAAAACACATATTCTGTGTATGTATATTCTGTATATCTGATACTCTGTGTGCACATTGGCGTCAGCTCCTGCTGCAGTAGCGCAGTCAGGTAAATGAGTGGCTTTACGTGGAGAAGTTGGCCAGGGACGCAGGAAAACATCCGAGCCTCACCTGGCCCGCTGCATTTCCCAGCCACGCACTCAAGTTTTTATTTAAAAAAAAGGGGGGGGGCTAAATTCTAAATATAGCTCCTTAGATGCTAAATTACAGGCTTTCCGCAGCACCTCGTTTTCCTGAAATTATTTAGGGAGTGAAGACACCCTACAATTTTAGATCCAGAGGGAGAATTGTCATTATTTCTCCCTTATTGATTTGGGTAAGAGGTACAAGGAACGGGAATCACAAATAAAACATAAGCCCTAACACGTTACTGGAATTGGAAAAGGAACTACTTGTTCCCGGTCTCTCTAGTAGACTGTGACATTGCTGAAATAGTTTTTATGGCAAGCTGTGTTTAATGAGGAAAATACTTTCTTTAAAATTGCTCAAAATAAGCTGGGCATCCGGCTCACGCCTGTAATGCTAGCTACTCAGGAGGCAGAGATCATGAGGATCGCAGTTCGAACCCAGTCCGGGCAAACAGTTTGCTAGACCCTATTTTGAAAAAACCATTCACAAAAAAGGGCTGGTGGAGTGGTTCAAGGTGTAGGCCCTGAGTTCAAGCCCGAGCACTGCAAAAAAAAAAAAGACCAAATAAATAAAATAAATTGCTCAAAATAATCATTGCACCTCAGTATTGGAGAAAGGAATTGATTTGTCCTCATTGGATTAAAAACTGTGAACTGTGAATGGTGTGTTGTGAAAATAAGTAAATCAACAAACCATATTTAAAGAGCTGCCTTAGTCCCTAGGAACAGAAATGCAAAAATGAGTCAAACATTAAAAGCATGTGTGTTGGTTGTTTCTTTCCAATAGCAATCTAAGAAGTCAAAAAATAGTTCAAAGAAAGATTTTGGATTTTAACTGGACATTTTAAAGGCTTCAGGCAGAAAAGAGAGAAAGACATCAATAATGCAGGAACGATGTCCCTGGAATGGCTTGAGTGGAAATAATATATATCCTGTTGTTAGGGTGGAAAACAACATTGCTTAAACCATGAATGACAAGGTCTGGGGTTGTAGCACAGTGGTAGAACACTTGCCCAGCATATGTGGGACCCTCCCTTCAGTCTTCAGCAACCTGATAAAATCATTTGATAGTACAGTTTTTTCCTGTGACATAAATATTTATTACCAAAACATTTAAATGTTTACCAGATATTAATTAAACACCTATTTTGTGATGGATAGTGGTGATACAGCAGTAAACCAAGCCCCTGTCCTTGCAAAGTTTATAGTGGATGACACAGCTTTGCAATTACATAAGTAATAATTCATAATAAATGTTTGCATATATTACCTAATTTTTATCAAACATATATTACATGATTTATCAAACACCCTAGGATGTAGGTTGCTTCCAGTACTCCACGTTGATTGTCCTTTATCATCTAGAGTCAGCCCTTCAGTCTGCCAAATTTTGTATACCTTAAATATTTCAATATATCAAACCATCATACATGTAATTTTTCCTGGTCCTTTTATATTCACTTTGTGACACTTAAGAAATAACAAGAATGGGGCAATGATTAATAAAGTAATATGGGTTTAATGAAAAATATGTTGAAACACACAAGGAAGAAAACCACAATCATTTTGTGCAGCATATGGCACTACATTCTGGGGTTATTTTTAACCCCCACTAAACTACATATTAAGCACATTGTCCCTTAATACTAACTACTGGTCCAAAGCATGATTTTAATACATGCAGCATATGTTATACCAGTTTTCCAGATACTGTAGAATACCATGCTTTATTACAAAAATTGACATACTGAGTTATTTGCCAAATTGTTTCTACATTACTCATTCAGCAAAAACCTTAAAAATGCATGTGTTCTTTTTTTAAAAAATCAAGGATGTGTTATTATTTAGAAGACAAATTAAGAAAATTCTGATGTCCAAGAAAAAAAAATCTAACAGTGGTTAAGAATAGGACGCTTAAAGATTCAGCAAGAACAAGGAGAACGGAAGGGCACCATTCTTGCTGACATAATTATTACCTGTCTGGGAAGCAAGAAAAGTGTCCAGGTAAGCAGTATTACAATGATTTCATGAGATAAACTTCTCAACACTAGTTTTTATTCAGTCACTTCTTTCTTTCAGGAAACGTTGGTGCAGCACTTAAAGATGCAGCTGACACTGTGATAAATGCTAGAGATAGAGAGGAAAATCAATCCCTACTTTCAAACAACTCGAGCCAAGAATGGATTACAAACACAGCCTTTTCAACTCTAGTTCCCTGCTGGTTTTTTCTCCATCTAACAGCATACATTTTGATTTTTATTTCTTTTATTTCCCTAGTCCAGCTCCATGAGATCAGGCCATTTTGCCATTTTGCTCACCGCTGAGACCAGGACATGGTTCTCAACAAATATATGTGAATGGATGAATAGCTTCAATCCTCACATTCTGCAGTGTTATATTCATTTTCTAAGTGAAAAAAATGGATCTTAGTTAATGTACCGACTTACACCAATAAATGGTCAGTCTTGGATTTGAAAACACCCTTTGGCTGCTGCTTCTCCACTATCTCTCATAGAATAAAAAGCTAGTTTTAGAGCATGTACTATTCATTCTTCAATATTTCTATGCTCAGCAGAACTATCTCTCACTGCCATAGTCTAGTATATTTCTTTGTTTTCTGATCAGGTTTATTTAGCACGTGGACTAGGAGAATCAGTAGGGATAATGGTGGAAATTCCTATTCAGTTTATATTTAGTGCTAACTAGCCAGTATTTATAGACAAGCAGAAAAAGGGTAAGGGTAGTTAGCAAGAGTTATAAGATCCTTAGAACCAGGGCTGGGTATAAGAGAAGGCAGAACTGATCCACAAATACAGGGGAAAAAAAATAACTCTCTGTGCATACCAATATCCACAGTACCTTTATTCACAACTCAAACTGGAAACAACTCTAAGACCCACCATCTGTGAGATGGTAAGTAAATTGTAGAATATCCATATATGCCATTATGGAATACTACTCAGAAGTAAAAAGAAAACTACTGATATATAAAACAATATGGATGAGTTTTAAACAGTATACTGAATGAAAGAAACCAGACACCAAAGAGAATAAATATTGTATGATTCCATTTATGTAAGGCTCTAGAAAGACTAATCTGTAAATGACAGAGAGCAGATCAACAGTTGCTTAGCACAGGGCTGAAGGGGTGATGAAAATATTTTGTATCTTAATCATAGTGGAAGACAAATGGGTACATACATTTGTCAAAACTCATCGGAAACGCATATTTCAGTACATGTTATTGAATATGGATTCTATTTCAATAGAGTTTATTTTTAAAACAAGAATTCCTCTACTAGTTTCTAGTCCAGAATGTAGAGAAAAAATGAAAAGCTACTCTATATTAGTTAGGATAAAGGTAGACTGTGTTTTGTGTATCAGAAAGCCCAGGGATGGTGGTGCAGCTCAGTGGCTCTAGAGAGCTTGCCTAGCATTTACCAGGCCCTATGTTTGATCCATAATATGTGGGAGCACGTCTCACACACACACACACACACACACACGGGGTGGGGGAAGAGTTTAAACATACAAGAGTTAATTATATAACAAATTTTATTGATTCTAAGGCACATTTTTTCCAGTTTAGCATTTCTGAAGTCAGAATGACCTCAGAGTTCATGCCATAAGTAAAGCATTGTATTAGTTGACTGGGAGTTTATTTCCATAACACATAAGTAAATGGTACATCTTAAGAGTCAGTGAAATGTACTAAAACAAGTCTAGAGACATGCTTCCCAAAAGCTGATACATTGGCTCTGCAAACTCGCAAAGAACCAGGTTCCTTTATATTTCTCTTCCATCTGTCTCAGCCCTGAATTCCACTCTTAAAGTAATTTCATGGTCCCAGATAGTTTCTATATCTCTAAGCCATCATTTCCACTTCCCAGGCAGCACGCACAAAGAAAAACAGATGGCAACAGGACCTTAAGATGTCTATCCTGAAGTCTTCTTAACAATTCTACAACTTTATCATGTGGAGATAGGTAGTTTCTGGGAAACTAGGAAACACAGATAAACCCAAATACCTTATGATCTCCAATAATATAGGAATTGTTATTTAGGAAGAAAGGAAAAATAGATGTTGGTCACACAATGTTCTCTAACAGTTTCTAAAACAAAATTTCTAAAGCCAGAGTCAGCCAGATGTAGAAGGTTTTTTGTGGGGAGGTGATGCCAAACAACAAGAAGAACAAAACAAAACAAAAAAAGCTGAAAAGATTGGTACTGTATTCCCTTTATCAGACTGAGTCTATGAAC